CAGAGACAGAGTGGGGAGCAGAACAGGCAGATCAACAAAGTACACTGCTGAGGGGAGCAGCAGGGGGGTCAGGAGAGGTCTGCCGCGCCACGTGGTCACCTCCCAGGCAGGCGGGAATCGAACTCATGCAGAAGTGGTTTAGCTTCTCAGTGCTGTGCTTTAACCTGCTGTGCCACCAGGGAGGGCCCTCTAAAGAGATTTTTACCATGCTAGTTCACGCTTACGCAGGTTCTGAATCAACAATCTGAATTCAAGCATCAAACAGTGAAGAGCAAACAGCGAGAACTGGACTGAGGGGCTTCGACATATTCATCTCCAAACATGACCTCACAGAGGGTGACGTGGGCATTGTTGCATGACCAGACTGGACAGGATCATCTGCAGCGTCTTCCAGTGACGGGTTCTGTTGCTAAACACAACTTGGTAAATGTTGCATTGGGCCACACTGCACTGCCACAGAAACAGGAGTCATGGAGCCAACTGTTGTGGCGGGGGCAGAACCTGACCTGTTCATGGGGTAGACAACAGGGCAGGAGGGCAAAGAGAAAAAAGTCAGGAGGCAGGAGTGTGGGCTTAGGCTATCTGGACTTCAGGGGAATGGAGTCTGCGAATCTGAATCGGATTTAAGAGCAGTTTGATGCCCCAAAGTTTGAAGACCAAATACCAGGTTTCTGACTCTTTGTTCCTGGTACCAATCTTTTGACCAAGTCATTCCGCTGAAATCATATATTTGTCATCTGCTCCCTAGGCGTTCCTGGTCATGCCTCTTGATGTAAATGCCATATCACAGGAGATTAAGCTTCCTGCTCTTGTTTAACTTAAGAGATGCCCCTGCAAGGTCAGAAGTTAATTGGGTGGGCCTAACGGATTTTGTACTGAAAAGCCGAATTGCATTACCAAAATGGCTGCTTAAGCAGGTCTTTAATTCCAGCAGACTCACAGATAAGGCTTTCCCAGAGTTGCCACAGTAGTGTGGTCACAGGGAACTTTGGGAAGCTCCTCCTTGGTGCAGGAACCATATGGGAATGTCTGAGGGTTGAGTCCGTGTGGGTCCTTCTATAGCTCCCCTTGTGTTTCTCTCACCTGACCCACATACTGGTGTTGGGCAGCAGGTTGTTGAAGGTTAGATTTGCTGGCACGTGTTTCCTTAGCCCTTCAGACCCATTCAGTGTAGCCCTAATCACTTTATTGCAAAGCTCACTAATAGCCCATGTCTCACACTGTTGGTTTCTTAATCATCTGCTATATTTGATTATACCATCCATGGTCTTCTGGAAATTCCTTGACTGTCAGCTTTTGTCTCAGCCTCAATGGCAATTCATTCTCTTTTTCCCTCAGTTTTTGTCTTCCCTTTGTTCCTGAATGCCATCCTTGACGTGATCTTCATACTCTGGAGTTCGTCAGCCCTCTGTGGGCTGCAGGGCACAACTACTTCCCTCCAGCTTGGGCCACATGTCCAATCTTCATGCCACAGGTTCAATTCCAGGTTGATGCTCTTTTTGTAGAGTTCCAGAAGACACTTCAAGCACAACAAATGGGATTTCAAGAATTGTAGCATTTCACAAAGTTTTAGAAGTTATTTTTTTTCTTTTTTTTTTTAATTTATTTATTTATTTGTGCATACAGAACTGGGGTACAGGCCAGAGGCTCAGGGGCGGTGAGAGGCTTCACCAGAGACAGAGTGGGGAGCAGAACAGGCAGATCTACGAAGTATACTGCTGAGGGAAGCAGTGGGCGGGTCAGGAGAGGTCTGCCGCGCCATGTGGTCACCTCCGGGGCAGGCGGGAATCGAACTCATGCGGAAGTGGCTTCAGATTCTCAGTGCTGTGCTTTAACCCGCTGCGCCACCAGGGAGGGCCTCACAAAGTTTTAATGATGACCTTCACGGTCACATTTAATCGCATCTAGTGAAAATCCTGGTGATTTGTTCTGTTAACTTTGAAAGTTTTTGCATTGATGCTTGTGAGCAAATACAGTACCTTCCTCTTTTATATCAGAATTAGCATCCTTGACCAAACTGGAAGGATGTTTTGGCTCAGTGACCAGGCTCTAGCCCCTGTAAGCTATCCTACTAGGCAAAATGTGGGCGTGGCTGTAGGACAGCCTGGCTGTGAGAAAGCCCAAGGAGACAGTGAGAGATGCTTGAACAAGGGTGAAGACAAAGGGCATATAATACTTTTCCTCTTTTTAAAGATTTACGTATTTGTGCATACAAGAACTGGGGTGTGAGCCAGAGATGCAGGGGTGAGAGGATTCACCAGAGACAGAATGGGGAGTAGAGCAGGTGGTTCTACTGAAATACACTGCTCGGGGGGGGGGGGGCAGGAGGCGAGACAGGAGAGGTCTGCTGCACTATGTGGCCACTCCCTGGCTGGGGATTGAACTCGCGCTACAGCAGCTGGTGAGAGCTTCATAGCTTATAGGTTAAAGTCCCTGCACCACCCTGGAGGCCCCAGGTAGGGTATTTCTAAGGTGATATCTCTACCACACAATATAGAGTACAAAGAATAGCACATCCTGTATAAGATAAAACACACAGTAACAAGCTCCCAGACTCCATTCTTCTGACCCAGACCACTGCCCTTACAGGGATGGTGTCATTTGAGGATGTGGCTGTGAACTTCACCTGGGAGGAATGGAAGCACCTGGACGATGCTCAAAGGACCCTGTACCAAGATGTGATGCTGGAGACATACAGAAGCCTGGTGTCCTCGGGTGAGTAACACTTCCCTGTGACTGCCCAGTGCAAGGACAGTTTTCTTTTTTAATATTTATTCATTTTATTTTTTCTTTTGCATACATAACTGGTATAGAGTACAGAGCTGCAGGGCTGAGAGGGTTCACCAGAAACAGAGAGGGGAGCAGAAGACTGTGAAGGGGAGCAGAAGACTATAAAAGGGAGCAGCAGGTCAGACCATGGCTGGACATTGAACTCATGCCACAGAAGTGATAGCGCTGAGACTTTACCCCTAGCTACAAGGCAGGTCCACAAGGACAGTTTCCTTCATGGTAAATATGCAAAGTATATGAAATTAGATGCTATTTTGTTTAAACTGAAATTTAATTCAAGAATAAAAATTCAATTAATAATTAAATTGCTTACGATTCCATGTGCATGACAATTCAGTGTACAGTTCTCTACTAGAGTCCAAAATTTGTTCTCATTAAACCCTTTTTTTTTTTAATGAATGTCAATTTATTTAAAAGAGTGATGTAAACATCTGCAGTGGTGTCTTCAGCCTCAGCTCTTAGCTCATTATGATGTAACTAACATGTTGAATGTATTAAATAATCCGGATGAATTGCTTGGGGATCCTCATTTTAAATGACCCCAAGTCTTACAGCCTTTACCGGTAGAGTTTTTCTTCTGATTCTCAGAATTGTATAAGATTTAAAGTGGTCCTGGAGCATGTTGAGGTTCTTGTCCTCTGTGCCTTTGACAAGTGGCACACACCTTCCCCAAAATTTCATCTTGGGCTGTTCAGTGTCATTCTAATTTGGACTTAGCACCAACTCTATTTTCACAGATGCCCCTTTATTATCTATATAAAAGCCATGGCTGCAGAGTGGTGTCCAGACCAACCTGGTCCATCATGAGCGGTCACAGTGGTGAGGCAGGAAGAGGAATTGGAATGAGACTGCCAGGGCAGCTGGGACCAAGTCTTCCACATATAAACAACCAAAAAGCCAAACAACTCTTAAAACTCTGCTATTGTCTAGTTTAAAAAAAAAGCATTTCTTTTTCTGTTGTCATTTTTCTTTTTTTAAAAAAAAGGTTTTGGGTTTTTTTTTTTTTCATTTTATGCCTACAAGATACTGGGGTACAGGCCAGACATGCGGCAGGGGAGTGGCAAAAGGATTCACTAGAGACAGAGTGGGGAGCAGAACAGGCAGGTTGACTGAAATACACTACTGAGGGGAGCCAGTGGGCAGGTCAGGAAAGGTCTGCCATGCCATGTGGATCACCTCTGGGTTGTCAGGAATCGAACTCATGCTGCGGTGACTGTGGATAGCTTCATAGTGCTACTCTTTAACTAGGAAGGGCCCTCTTGTCATTTTTCAAAGACCTAAAAACTCAGAATTTTAGTCAGAGTCCTTCATCAATTCTCATTAACAGGACTTTGTGTTACGAAACCTGAGGTGATCATCAGTTTGGAAGCAGGAGCACAGGCAAGGACTGCAGAGAACCTTCCTACAGAGAGCCTCTCAGGTCAGTCAGTGCATGCTTGGCAATGGGTGTGTGAAACGGTAAGTCCACATGGACCTGTTATCAGTAATGGCTTTCCCCAGGTGCAAGACTTTGGACACTGTCTCCTTTTGTTACGGGAGAGACTCCCTATGTTTGTAATGAATGAGGGAAAGCCTGTGAGATGTCCGTGTCCATTGCCAAAGAAAGGAGACTCACTCTAGAGATAACAACTAGGAGAAAAAATTTTTTTGAGAATCCAGCAAAATTGATTTTTCCATACATATTTTGAATAGACACATCGTAAATGTAATATAAGTGGGTATAATTTTAGCAACAAATTACAGCACACTCATTGTCACAGAACTCAGGAAGAAAAAAACTTCAATATGATGTATCTTATAAGAGTTTCTGTTCTAACTAAAGTTTTTAAACTGCAAACAGGTGAGCAACCTTATGAATGTTAGAAGACCTGTGCGATATCAACCCTTAATAAACATCAGAGAACCAGGAAAGAAACCTTATGAGGGTATAAAGTGTATGAAAACATTTTCCCGGGAGTCAACCCTGAAGAGACACAAAAGAACTCACAAAGAGGTGAAGCCCTATGAATGTAAAGAATGTAAGAAAACTTTTTTGTGGTGTTCAGCCCTCAAGAGACACCAGAACACTCATAGTAAATGTGGGAAATCATTCTTAAAGATGTCAGCCTTAAAGATGCACCAGAAAGCTCACACTAGTGAGAAACCCCCTGAGTATAAAAAATGTGGGAAAACCTTCTTGTGTCAGTCAGACCTTAAGGAACACCAGAGCACTCATAGTGGAAAACAATGCTACAAGATACTGGGGTACAGGCCAGAGATGTGGCAGGGGAGTGGCAAAAGGATTCACTAGAGACAGAGTGGGGAGCAGAACAGGCAGGTTGACTGAAATACACTACTGAGGGGAGCCAGTGGGCAGGTCAGGAAAGGTCTGCCATGCCATATGGATCACCTCTGGGTGATCTTTACATTCACCCTATGAATGTAAAGAATGTAGGAAAACGGTTTTGTGGCAGTCAGAACTCAAGAGACACCAGACCAGTCACACTGGAGAGAATCCCTACAAATGTAAGGAATGTGAAAAAACCTTGTGGCAGTCAACCCTTAAGAAACACCAGAGAACTCACACTGGAGAGAAGCCCTTTGAATGTAAAGAGTGTGGGAAAACATTCTTGTGGCAGTCAGCCTTTAAGAGACACCAGAGCACTCACATTGGGGAGAAACCCCACAAATGCAAAGAATGTGGGAAAACCTTCTTGTGGCAGTCAGGCCTCAAGAGACACCAGAGTACTCACACTGGAGAGAAACCCTACAAGTGCAAAGAATGTGGGAAATCTTTTAACAACAAGTCATATCTCAATGAACATCAGAGCACTCACACAGGGGAACAACCTTATCAGTGTCAAGAATGTAAGAAAAGATTTTACTGGCAGTCAACTCTCAAGAGACACCAGAGCATTCACACTGGAGAGAAACTCTACGGATGCAAAGAATGTGGGAAATCTTTTAACAACAAGTCATATCTCAATGGACATCAGAGAAATCACTCCGGAGAGAAACCCTTTGAATGCAAAGAATGTGGGAAAACTTTTTATTGGAAGTCATATCTTGATAAACATCAGATCACTCACATCGGTGAGAAATGCCATGATTGTAAAAAACGTAGGAAGTCTGACTTTTGTCAGACATCCCTCAAGAGACGCCAGGTAGTGCACATGGAAAAGAAACTCTATGAATGTAAAGAATGTAAGAAAACCTTCTGTGGCAGTCAGCCCTCCAGAGACACCAAAGCACTCACAGTGGAGAGAAAACTTATCATTATAAATGTGGGAAATTATTCTTCAGGCTGTCAGCCCTCAAGATACACCAAAGGACTCACATTGGAGTGAAACCCCCTAAGTGTAAAGAATGTGGGAAAACTTTCTTGTGGCAGTCAGACCTCAAGAGACACCAGAGCACTCACAGTGGAAAGAAACCCTATCATTGTAAATGTGGGAAGTTATTCTTCAAGCTGTTGGCCTTGAAGATACACCAGAGCACTCACACTGGAAAAAAAAGTCCCTGAGTGTAAAGAATGTGGGAAAATCTTCTTGCAGCAGTCAGCCCTTAGGAGACACCAGAGGATTCACACTGGAGAGAAACCCCACGAATGTAAGGAATGTGGGAAATCTTTCTTCAGGCAGTCAGATTACAAGACACACCAGAGCACGCACACTAGCAAGAAACCCTATCACTATAAAGAATGTGGAAAAACCTTCTTGTGGCTGTCAGTCCTCAAAAGACACCAGAGTACACACA